ACAGGAATCGTGTTATGTGGACCTGTCGCCTCTAATACATTTTTACTTATACTTTCATTGCCTCGAAAAATGTATTGCGCTATTTGTACATAAACAGGTCTAGTAATTTGTTTTCATTCTCGTACGTACGTTCATCGTATGGTCGCCTTAGTGGTAGTTTGTGTGGCTCGATTAGCACCTCTTTGTCTGCACCTTGATCGATAGTGCCAATACACTATAATGAAATGTCATAAGGGTTCATTTGTCACACTCCTTGCACTTCCGTAAGTATTGCAATACTTAATGTTTGAGTACTGGTTGCCAATCTGTGCTAAGATTAACTGAGTTTTTTATTTCATATTTGTAAGTAGGTGTCGCGGTGTTGCGAAACGACGAAATCGAGTACATCAATAAAAGAGTTGGTTAAGTATATAGTTTCTACATTTTTACATAAGCTTTCTCGAATTTCCTGTTTTTTTAGACGATAGGTCATATAAAGTGTAACATTATTTTATAGTTAGTTGTAAGATTGCGGCTAACGTAAGTTTATATATTTCTATCATAATTCTTTGCACTAATGGCTTTCGAACAGTCCTCGCGTGTCCTCCGTTACCACACATTCCTGCCTTGATGTTTGTGAAGTATTACTACAACGGTTAACAGTTATTCATTCTCTCCCACGAGCCATACTGAGATCTATTATACGAACTGTTTCCGAGTTGTAACAGCTTTTTGTCGCACCTCTTTATCTAACGGAGCGGCTTCGGAGAATATTGTAATTGTTTGGAAGTCTATCACTAAAAAAAATCCTATCAAGTGGAGCTTAATGGGATCAATCACACTTCTAAATGGAATCAATCACAACATGATTAAATTAATTACTTAAAATTGTTGGTGCAATCTTTGTGCCGTTGATAGGCTGAGATGGAAACAAGTTATTTGTGTACTTCAAAAGCTTTTTCACTTCCCATGCTCTTAAAGTTCGTATTTATGCTGGGTTTTTTAAAACGAAGGCGAGTTTAATAAAATAGTCGTTTATTTGTAATATTGCTGTTTAATTTCCTCGCAATCGAAGTGAAGAGCAGAGTGTATAACTCGTTCATAAAACACATTTTACCCTCGACTTAAGTATCCACCCTCGTTTTATGCACTTGTTGTACAATCTACTATTTTTCTGTTAATCGTGTAGTTTGTTGAAAAGCAAGAATAATTATTTTTACTTTCTCCGAATGCTGCCGTGTAAATATCCATTATTTACGTGAAACTTTTATTTATGAAAATACACAGACAAATATGTCAGTGTAAAAGAGTTCGTCGCTATTCTATTTCTGTCGCCAAGCAGTAACGTGAGCATTATCGTGTTCCGGTTTTGAAGGGTAAGGGTGCTGGTGAAATTACTGGCACATGGGACTTGTCAACTTATGTCTCAGGGTGACAGGAGCAGTGGCAATGCCCCTCAGATCTTTGCGATTGTTGCCACAGGCGTTTCCGCACTCACAATTTGTGCGGACAAAGTTATTGATTGACAATTTCATATTCTGTTTTTAACCGACTTCAAAAAAAGGAGGAGGTTCTCAATTCGACTGTGTGTTTAGTGTTGTAAGGAACAAAATGTGATATATTCATAAATTTTTTGAAATTCCAGTTCATCATGATTTATATACTTCTGTTATATAGACATAGTGTGAAAAATTCCATTATAACTTGTACTCGTAACTATGTTTATATAGCATCGACATCACGATCAATCGTGCGTTGTCTCATTTGCGAAGCCAGCGTTTTTCATGATAGCAGTTCTCGTGATTAAAATTCGCTATGGGCGCTAAGACTGTGCGTCAAGTTCTCACGGGATTCCTCCTGCCTCGAGTGTGTGGTCCGCCTTATGAGATTGCAGATTGATGAGATGTGGTTAATATTAATAGACCCTCTAAGTGAGGTACATCTTAATCTTGAGGCTTTATGGGATCTTGGAGTTGGGTTATTATTGGTAGCTGTTACAACATGTGTATTAAAATATTCAATAAAATACCCAAGTCTAATGTGACGACAACTAGAGAAATGGCTTTTTGGAAAATTGTTTCTACGGCATCAAAGAATTTTTACCAACATGTGTAAGTAACCTTTTTTCATGTAAGCATATCACATGTAACCCTATCATTTTGTAATAATAACTACGAATGTTTTGGAATTACGCATTTAATAAATTTAAAGTACTTTAGAGGCCCTCAAAAAAAAACATCGTTCGAGTGAACTTTTCATTTATTTCAAAAAGACAAAGGATACGCAAGGACTGAATTACCAGGAGAGCATAGTTGAGTCAGAGTGTCGCGCTGATACATTTGCAAGCTTGTGATGCAATGTCCACCGGTGGTTATGGCAATTTATATGCGGCGAGAACGCCCGTCGCAATTTATAACAACACAGGGAAGATATACCTTATGTATGTATATATGTTTGAGAATTTGCGTACCAAACTGAAATGTAGTTAAAAGAATAATGTAAATAAAAAACACAGTGTGGAGACAGAGATGCTTTATTATTCGTTTTATAAAGAAGTGACACTACCACTTAGTGTAATTAGCATAAAAACGTGTTCGAATTACAGGGTATTATTTTACAAATAACAAACAAAGGAAAATGATTAGCAAAGATTTGAAGTACCAGGCGATCATGTCTGAGTCAGAATGTCGTGCCAATATAAGAGCGTTACGCAACCCGTTGGCCGTAGTCGGTTATGGCAATTTATCAGCAGAGCGCCTGGCGCCGACGACGGTGACGACATCATGTGGATTAAAGCCGCCAGAGGTCTGGGAAGCGGGTGCGGAGTTCACAAGGAAAATAAACGACTGAATTCGAGAGAAGGATAATCTAGATACTGAATACAAATCAAAGCATCGATTATAGATGCAATAGCAAGTAATGACAGTAGTTGAAAGTTTTCGTATCACAACAACAATACACTTTTGGAACTTGTTCAAGTTTTCATATTACTTACTTCCTTTTGATTGAGGACAATAAGAAGGATCTAACGATTAATTGGGAATAAAACTAAAATCGCGAGCTTGGAATTTGTAAATAGCCTTGTAAAGATTTAGTTAGATCCGAAAAATTGTATTTTCATTAAGCGATTGCGAAAAAAAAACTCGATATAGGTACGAAATATTACATTAAGAATGATTGCTTCGCATTATCAAAATGTCGAAATACTGATACGTAAACGGAAATATGATTAGTAATTTTAATTTCACTTTAAATTCGTATTCGAAATAATTATGTAAACAGACAATACGAAATTGACAGCAACGTAGCAAGAGAAACTGAAATTGATTGGACACAGTTAATGCAAATTTAGACATTTTGAGTTGTCATTATTGAAATTATTATACTATGGAACAATGTCTATTGAATCAATCGTAAAACTTTAGGTAGCTTGTATGAACATTGAGTTTGCAAAATCATATTTATATTGGACCTCTAGGTCCACTGATCCCGTTTTTTCTTAATCCAACCACTTTCACCCATCCTTCGATTGAGCATATTTTACCATGATCAAGTTGTTATCTTAAGCCAGGTAAATGCAAATAATGATAATATCTCTTTATAGAACGAATTCGTTAAAATCAACCTTTTGTTATCAAGATTCTAAAGTTTCATAAAACATTTGTTCCTGTAATTTTTACTGATAGCTTTATTATGCAAATATTTTGTTTATGCAATTCGATACCCTTGATTTATATGTATGTAACGTTGGTCTTGTTTTTCATCTCCATTATATATACCAACTTTGTTGTGACTTTTGAATGGAAGTATGTTATTTTCGTTATTTTATTTCATGATGATGAAACTTGTTTGTTTCATTACTTCCATTATTAACTCTAAATAGTTTATCTTTTTATATTATTGTTCAGTCTTCTTCATTATTTACAGACAATGAAATTTAGCTGTGGCAATCCACTCATCTAAAAACCTTAGTTCATGCTACTGCATTACTAATGTCATGTTTATTGCCTACGAAAGTAAGCATGCCATGATAATAAACTTTAAAACCTTCGCTTCTAACTTGGAACTGATGTATTTATGAACACTGTTACGGAGGAATGTGATCTATTGTATGCTTGATGCTGATTGATGGGTCATAAAAAATGAGAGGGTTCAGGATCTTTGTTTTGTTTCGTCTATTTTTGGTGAACAAAGTAATTTAGTTTCAAGATAGGTAATTGGTCTGTGATCCTTTTCGTATTTCAACGCTTTTTGAAAAATGAATGAACTGATTGATGATGTTCTTAAAATTGCTACTTTTTTCTAAATTTTTTTTACAAATTTTAATTTGAAAATGAAACTATTTTTTTCCGGATCTAAAGCGCATATATTTGTTTTTTTAAACAAACCAATGTTTCGGGTGTTTTTACAGGTACTCGTGGTCACGGCTTCTTCTTCTTCCTTCTTTAGAAGAACTTCTAACTTCTAGAGATTATTATTATATAGACAAAATATTGTTGCAAAATTATTGGAGCCTACATTGTTTTTATATCTCCAGTGTTGACCATGAACCCATTCATGCTCCGATTGAAACGAAAGAAACGTTTACAATCAATTTTATCGAAGAATTGCATGATTCGAGACAACTTTAATTACCACAACTAAACTATAATGGACTATTGTCTTATTAATCCGCGAGCAGTGTCAAGAGTGAAGCTTTTAACAGATCGATCACCCCGCGGCGGCTGCGCACAAAGCGCAAATATGCGCTTGCGCAAGTTATCGCCTCGTTGGCGTCGGGTGTCAATAAGTGTAACGGATCGTGATCGATTAAATGTGCAACACTTAATCTGACCACACGTGTCCGCCAAGGTCGGTTTAGGCTCCGCTCTTGGCGAATTTCATCTTGTTAGTATATATGGAATTCGTGATACATGACCATAAAATATGTATTGGTACATATATCTTAAAGGGCAACTTTTCGATTTATTTGTTTACTAATGTCATGTCTATACATTGAAATAATCTTTTGTCTTTTACAGACGAAGAAGATGAAGGTGGAACTCTTTCTGAAGGTTCAATGACGTCAGAAGTTGGACGAGCGGACACCGATGATGAGGGAATTGAGCGGGACGCGGAGCCTGCGCCGCGGCGCCGGCGCCGCCGGAGACGGTTCACGCTTCGAGATGTTGTTGACGTAAGTTACATTTATTTTAAACTATGCTTTTCAAAAAAATGCAATACGTGACATCGGAAAGGTGCCTTGCAAGAACTTGAATACTCCAAAATAGAACGCATGGAAAATTTAAAGACCGTCTATGTTTGTTTACTTATTACAGAGACATCTAAAACGTTTTTGTTGTTGTTAAATGTGTTCGCCTATATAATTAATCCATGCCTTCATTTGTTATTGTTGGTATGTCCTGCAGCCATTGCATCTCCTGCATGTTCACTATGTATGTCATAGAAAGGAGAGTGTTCCAGATAAATTAATGCATAGACGTCATCCACATGTTTTAATTATAAAGCAATGCAATTTTCGTGAAAGCTTAATTTACTTCGAAGTAGAAACCGACACGAGAAAAAGTATTGTGCATTTAAAAAGTTATTACGTCACAACCATGCTACTTACATCGGAAAAGCTTTCGATGTAGCGCTTTGCGTTACATTCACGCCGTGCTATCTTTATGAGCACCCAAATAATAATTTTAAAAGTTCTGATGATCATGCCTTTGGTGGAAGACACGGAACTTTCACTCGGAGACGATCCTTATCCGTCTCGTGCGCATAGCTGCAATAAGGTAGTGTGTTGACTGCCCACACACGTGTTTCAATCTGTATCGACGACGCGTTGCTTGTTGCCACTGTAGATTATCAGTTGTTCATGAATTATAATAGGAGATTGTATTTGCTCTGTATCTCGTTCACATGGTCCCAATATGGGGGTACGTTCTCTACAAAAATTAGTTATAGAATGGCCACATGGCAAATTGGCTCTTAACCCAAAGCACTAACACTTAAAATCACTACTGGATTCTCTGTACATTATCGCTATAGACAAAGTCAACGAGCATCAACTATAGAGCCTTAGGTACCTCGATTTATATATTCTATTTCATAGATACTTACTCTATAGATTCGGCAGAATGTCGATTCCTTACCGAAGCGTGTCAGTATTTCTTACGCGCGAAAAGTTTTACAGTTGAATATTTTTTCCCATCAGATGACCTTTGACCTTTATTATCTCAGGTCATAGATCGAAATTCAAAACTTGAGCTTTGTCACGACCCGTGGAATTGTATTTTTATGCTAGTTTAAAATTTCATGCATATCGGTAGAGTGATGGCTTAGTAACGGCATTTTTTTAATTTCATTTTTTATCTGTGTATGTATTGAGTAATGTTGATTGAATTGGCACATATATAACATAAGAACTGTGCCTTACTTGTTGTCTTTACAGCGCTCTACCTTTGACTATTCAACAAGCGAAATCTTGCCAAAAATACGTTCAAAGAATACTAACTAATTTTAGTGTGACTTGAACTACTTACTTATGTTTTAAAAGTATTATGGTTTATTACGAAATTTGTGAAAATGTATCGTAATCGACTCATCCGAATAACAAAGTCCGATGTGATTATACAACGAAAATAGGATAAATACATAATCTCCTTATTCAAAATGAGGCCTAGCTGTAGGTGTTTTCGTAATTTGATGTATTATTCCGTTTCGGAAATATAAAATCGATCAATAGTCGATCTGATATCCAATAGCTAAGAACAGCGAACGAAATGTATAATGTCCTGAGATAAGCAGTCTTGCACATAGGTCTTTGTTCTACGGATGAGTCGAAATGTAAGAATATATAGTAGTTTATGATATTCATATACATGTATTGGATTTATTTTTTATTTATCTATTTTTTATCTATCGATTACAAAACCTTCACACACCGACGTCTTTTTCGTGTGGGTTATAATAATTACTTCCATACAAAGGTTGTATGGTAGAAATCGCTTAAAGCCGCCCCTTGCACCACCGCTTATTTTGTTTTAATCTAATTGTATTGTATTTATTTCCATTTTGGTGTACAATGAGGAACATTTGTATTGTATTTTCTTTTATGTCAAATATTTTTATATGTTGGTTTACCAAATAAATAAATAAATAATTCCGATAGTAGATTGTGCAATTTACCTATGTGCTGGCCAAGACAGTTTCGACAAAGTGGGATCTCTCATCTTTCTGTATTAGTTGCGTGGCAGTATTAATAGAATTGTAGCTATTGCAAAATCCATAAACGTGAGCTATTGAAAATGCCTTCCAGAATGCAATATATTGAATTCAAAGAAACAGCCTTGGAGCCATCATTCATATGATATCTCACGACTACATTAGTGGCGATCATGACATCGTGTTAAATGTAACCGTGGATACTTTACTAACTAATAAAGCGTATAGCTGTCAGTCGTATGTTCGAGTATATATGACTTTAATTCTTGCTCTAAATGGATTTGATCTGAAAGGTTTTGATGAAAAAATATTTATTTAGAATTAGCCACCCTCAGGGTTTCTTACTTATTCGACAAAGTGAAATTTGCCTTACGAATGAATAGAATTTTTAACTATTTCAAGTGTAAATTGCTTGCTATTTATTGAGCTTAATTTTTAATGTTTCAACTGACTTTAAAAAAGGAGGTGGTTCAAAATTCGAATGTAATTTTTCCTTTTTTATTTGTGTGCATGTTACGCGATGTCCCAGACATTGGCGTGGATACGTGGGGCGGCTGAAAAGTATAAAAAAAAGTATCTCTTTTGACTTTCCTATGAAAAAAATGATATTGGCCACTAACGAGACATGTCCGCTGTTTATTCTTTTTGTTTTCAAAATTCGTGACCATTCTTTTGTTTATTACGATTTACGCCCACTGAGAATATAACTACTACGTTTTATCTTATATGGATGACATGGTCGGAAAAAAATAAAATGTTTAAAAATGAGCAACAGTTCTTTTTAAAGACTTACGATCCTTTCAAACAAATGAAATATGTGTATTTTCCTTGCAGAGATGTTGGAAAAAAGTAGCCATGATCGTCTTTTATTTGGTACTTATGTAGATTACTTTTCTGCCACCCCCATCTGAAGTGTGCTTTTCGCCCTGTACCTAAACAAAAACAGGTTGTTATACCACAAGTTACAAAATAAATTCAAGCTGTGGAGGATGTCAGATCCCTGATAATAATATGCAAAAATTGTTATTTTCAGCTAAAATTTGACTTAAATAAATGTAAAATATTTGTTAAATATTTATTACAGAATTTATAGTCAGTTCTCGTTAAGAAATATTACAGTCATTTTATTTTATTATTGTTGTAAAAGTAAAGGTCTGATTTCTGAACGTCTCACTGATGGTAAACGAAAATTAAAAAACAGCTTGATTGACATTCTTCTGATTTTGGCGCGTTAAGAATGTTAAGTGCTATGAATATATTATTTGAAAAGTTTAAAAAGTGGCGTTTATCGTTAAATACTAACACAAAGAACATCACGGCGTCAATATAAACGAAACATAATGTATGTCCATATGATGTCCATAATATGAGATGACGATTGCATCATATAACTCGGTTGGCTGCGATGGATACGGCTTTCACTGTTTCTCATATTAGGAAGTCATTAGCTTACAGATCGGGTTACAGGGCTACGAACCTTTGATATATCTATTAAGACTTCGTTACATATTATGTTTATTGGAGTTTCTTTCGTAATTTCTTTCTCGGATCAAATCGAGAGTGTTCTTAGAAAGGGTCGAACGCGTAGTGAGAAAGGAGGGCTGGTGGATTGATTAATGTATAGGGCTACCGCTTAACGGAATCGGTTCCTGGGGTAGCTGCGCGTGGGGGGCGGAGTGTCAACATAATTTTTCTAACGATATGGAGTAGCAAATTGATTGAAAAAGTAGATTTATTTTTATAAATAGCGCCTAAATTTTACAAGAAGCAATTATTTTAATGGTTAATTTTGCTATGCTCCAATTGAAGGCGTTTCTCTTTCTCAATATACTTTAATTTTATTTTTTAATTTTACATTTTATTATCTCCTGTGTCAAGTCTGAATCCGGTTTTGCGCACTTTCCTGTAACCTATTTCAATAAAACTTGGCACATAGATGTAGTTCCACGAACTTTTGATGTCGGTTTTTTTAGTACATTGTCTGAGATTATATAGGACAAGATGGCACGAAAGTACTGCTGTGGGCTAACACTAAATTATAACATATAACTTAACATTTGGTGATAGGTATTATTACATGAATTGAATACTGCGTTATTAGACATTTTATACAGAAGAAATTTGAAAAGACCATTATTGCCGCAAGCAATATTTTTTATTTACATTTACGCAATAAGCAATCGTTCCCGTTGTCTCTATTTCGACTCATCCGTAGAACAAAGATCTATATGCAAGACTACTTGTTCTCAGGACATAGTACATTTCGTTCGTTCGTCTTCGCTGTGGATGTCAGATCGGCCGTTGTTCGATTTTATATTTCCGAAATGAAATAAGATATATAAATTCTCAAAACACCTTAACGTAGGCCTTAGTTTGAACAAGGAAATTATTTTCGTAACACACTTATTCTCTTTTCGCTATTTAATCACATCGGACTCTGTTCTTCGGATGAGTCGATTTGTATTATTCAAATAATAATAAAATCTCAACTACTCCTTAATGTTAACTGAATCAGATGTAGATATATAGGATTATGCTTTTATGGTTATACTGTGAGTGGTTTAACTAGATATGTGGGGAAATGAGTTTATATTATGCATTTAGAGTTACTTTGTGATACGGGTAATGGATGTAAGAGAAACGGCTTTTCTGTTTTGGTTTTATAGGGTTTTCGTAATGCTTGTGGGAAACTTGGTGGAATAGATACATACTATTTTATTTATATTTATTTTTTTATGATACCAACTGACGGAAGAAATCGTTCGTCTGGTCGCAAGTCCGATGTAGTCCCATGTCGAACGCTGTAATGCAAACAAGGCAGTACCTCCCTGGACGAACGAATCACAAGGAGCTCTAACGTTCTAACAATTCAATGCAACAACAGCTGTGGTAGTCCAGTAGGAGGAAGGTTACTTGTACTTGTAGTATTAAAAGGTAATCCGGCTGCATTCCGGTTTTGAAGGG